TTTTTTCTTACATCAATTTATCAGAAAGTGATAGAATACCATTTCATCGAACTCTCTTGTTACTATCCCTACCACTGAACAAAGTGTAGGCTGCCTAACATGGAATTAAGACTTTTTGTGGCTTAAAGCAACCTTATCTCCTTAGCATTGCTCCCCACTATTAATAAAATTCTCTCTGATGAGGATTTAAATACCTTTAAAGCAGATATGTAACATTATATACAAAGTTGTTGTGGAAGTCAGGGACCCCGAACAAAGGGACCAGCAGGAGCCACAGCAGAGAAACATAAATTGTGAAGATTTCATGGACATTTATCAGTTCCCAAAATTAATACTTTTATAATTTCTTATGCCTGTCTTTACTGCAATTCTGAACATAAATTGTGAAGATTACATTTTAATATGGACATTTATCAGTTCCCAAAATTAATACTTTTATAATTTCTTATGCCTGTCTTTACTTTAATCTCTTAATCCTGTTATCTACGTAAGCTGAGAATGTACGTCACCTCAGGACCACTATTGTACAAATTGATTGTGAAACGTTTATTTGAACAATATGAAATCAGTGCACATTGAAAAAGAACAGAATAACAGCGATTTTCAGGGAACAAGGGAAGACAACCATGAGGTCAGACTGCCTGTGGAGTCGGGCAGAATAGAGCCATATTTTTATTCTTGCAGAAAGCCTATAAACGGATGTGGAAGTAAGGAAGATATCGCTGAATTCTTTTCCCAGCAAGGAATATTAATAATTAATACCCTGGGGAAGGAATGCATTCCTTGGTGGGAGGTATATAAACAGCCGCTCTGGGAGTGTCTGTCTTATGAGGTTGAGATAAGAACTGAAATATGCCCCTGTCTCCTGCAGTACCCTCAGGCTTATTAGGGTGGGGAAAAAAATCCCACCCTGGTGAATTTGAGGTCAGACCATTTCTCTGCTCTCGAATCCTGTTTTCTGTGGTTTAAGATGTTTATCAAGACAATATGTGCACAGCTGAACACAGACACTTATCAGGAGTTTTTGATTTTGCCCTTTGCCTTGTGATCTTTGCTTTGCCCTTTGCCTTGTGACCTTTATTGGCCTCAGAAGCATGTGATCTTTTTTCTTCTTTTTTGCCCTTTGAAGCATGTGATCTTTGTGACCTACTCCCTGTTCGTACACCCCATCCCCTTTTCAAGTCTTTAATAAAAACCTGCTGGTTTTGCAGCTCAGGTGAGCATCACAGTACTACTGATATGTGATGTCACCCCCAGAGGCCCAGTTGTAAAATTCCTCTCTTTGTACTCCTTCTATTTCTCAGCTGGCTGACACTTAGGGAAAATAGAAAGAACCTACGTTGAAATATTGGGGGCAGATTCCCCCAATATTAAGTAAATTCCTAAGTCAAGCCTGCTGTTTTTATTTTATTCTATTTGTAATAACAATTTTTTACTAAGTTTTATCTGTATGTTATGTTCAAAATTTAATCGCATTATTCTCTGAATGACTGTAGCATTTCATTCATTCATTGATTTTTTTTTTCTACATTCCTTTGAATAAACACATGACATGCAAAGGATCAGTTTAAGGTGTTGTGAAAGAGCAAGACTTACAACATAGTCTGCACTTATAACTAACTGCAATCCCACATTTAATTTTTATATAAATGAATTTTCTCCACAATGAGATTACAACAATTTAGAAGCAGTGGTCATATTTTGCACTTCTATTCCTCACAGTTTTTGGCAGAAATATTCATTTGATTGAATTTCTTAAATTAAAAAAAAAAACTTGGAAAAATATAATGTTAATTTTATCTCTACAAAGTTTCTGAAAAAACAAAGTCTATAAAATAACTAGCATTATCACCAGAAAGTAGAATTATTTCTAAGCTAAAATTGCTTATTTAAAATACAAGAAAAATAGTCTCTTTTTATAGGTATTACCTTATGAAGTATAATCCTCTCTTAAGAGAATGGAAATAATGGGCTGCATAAGATAGCTGTGATTTTTAAAACGTGTTTGTTAAAACATGTGTTTAAATCTATTCTAGCCAGAGGAAATTAGTTGAGCTCCCAGAGCAATTCCCATTCCAAAAGCAGGGGGTCTATTTTGATCATCTCTTAAACCTTTAGAGAGAACTGTACTAATTCTCCATTGAAAACTGGACAATTATTCGACTGGGATCATTGTGGAGGGTGAGATGCTTTGTTAAACCAGTTACTCTCTCCTCTGTATGGTTCCAGAAAAGCAAAGCCACTGTTGATTGAAGGGATAAAAATGACCTATTTACAGAATGTAAAACAGTAACTAATTTCTGATCATATAATCCTAGGTATAAAAGATTTCATGCTGGATTAATGAGCACTTTCGTCCCCCAGACAGTCCAAGATAAGATCTATTTTACTTTAAAAGTTTCTCAAAAGAAGGGATTTTCAAAGTGCTATCTTCAGTTATTCCTGTGCTTAAAAACTCTCACAGCTTGAAAATCTACACTAATAACAGTCCAGGTTTACTATACATTTTAAAAAATAATTACAAAATAAAGAATTGGCCACCTTTTCTATAAGACCTCTTCATATACAGTACATGAAGAATAATAATTATCTCACTATGTTTTCCTTTTCAAATGCAAGTATTCTATTTCCTTAAATTTTTTATCAGAGACATTATTACTGAGAATTCTTCACCATAATTTGTATTTATCCTTGCACCTTTCCCACATATTCCAGATTCTTCATTAACTGACACAACCACAAGCATTCAGAGTAATCAGGAAGAGCATGACCAAAGCAAGAAAACACTTCTTCTTGACTTTTAAAAATCGTTCCTGGATTTTACTAATCTAAGCTCTAATAACACCTCCATGATACCCAACTTGGGTTTCTCAGACCTGTAGAGAGTGAATGCAGTAAAGAAGAAACAGAAGACTTGTTGTGAAATCCTAATGATCTATACAACAAATCCCTGTGACAAGAGTTTCCCTACATAACAAACCTTCACACATACCCCTGAACCTAAAGTAAAAGCAAAAAAAAAAAAAAAAAAAAGAAAAAGAAAATGTAAATTCACCCCTGATAGAACTGCACAGGTCATATGCAACACCAAATCTCTTTGCCATTGTTCACACTTAGGAGCTGATATATGGACACATTCAACAGAAGTTTCCTATTAATGTAAAATTGTTGAAAGTTTTAATGTTATTTGAAAATTTAAAAAACCTATTGGAATTGAAGAGATACATACATAGGTAGCTAAATGATTACTTATTTTAAAAATTGAGAATTGATTATTTTTATTAAATGAGGTTTCTTTTTAGGGGAAAAACTCGATTATTTCCTTGGGGAAAAATAATAATGTAAATGGTAGAATTTGAAACAAAATGAAACCACTGGGGCACCATTTAAGTTTAAGATAATTATTATTATTTTTTTATGTTTATTTTATTTTATTTTATTTGAAATGGAGTCTCGCTCTGTGGCCCAGATTGGAGTGCCGTGGCGCAATCTCGGCTCACTGCAAGCTCCGCCTCCCGGGTTCACGCCATTCTCCTGCCTCAGCCTTCTGAGTAGCTGGGACTACAGGTGCCCGCCACCATGCCCAGCTAATTTTTTGTATTTTTAGTAGAGCTGGGGTTTCACCGTGTTAGCCAGGATGGTCTCGATCTCCTGACCTCGTGATCCACCCGCCTTGGCCTCCCAAAGTGCTGGGATTACAGGCGTGAGCCACTGTGCTCAGCCAAGATAATTATTTTTTGTAAATCTCCTACATAATCTTTATTTTTGCTTCACAATATATGTTAAAATTTGTCTTTCCAAAGTTTTCCCTTTTTATGTGATTCTTCACCAATTTCAAGATGTTTTTGAACTAATTTATGCCCTTGGAATTACTGGAAAAGTTTCTAAAATCTGTTCTAACTCTTAAGTATGTTCTTTATGTTACCATACGCAGCACTTAAGTTGTTCAAAATACTGGGATAATAAAAATTCCCTGATGAAGGGCACTTGTAATGACTATTATGCCACTGAATTCAGAAACTTAGACCCTTTTTTCCATCTAGTCGATCCCTCCATTCATTTACTATAAGGGGATACAGCCATCATTTTTTCTGGTGTGAAAAAAATCTGCTTGAAGGAAAAGCCAAAAAAAAAAAAAAAAAAAAAAAAAAAGCTGCAAGTGTCTAAATAAATAACCTGTAATACAGGTCTCTTAACCTACTGTGTCTGTCATAGAAAACTACTTATGGGCAAAGGGACTATTTTATCTCAATATCAGAAGGCAGTTTGTAAAAGAGGGGAAAATCTATTTGCTTTATATTGTGTTTCAGAAACTGAAATAGCAAAATTTCAACTTTGAGATACTGAAAAGGATTATAAATTTGAACGTTTAGGAAACATTCAATTTAATGTCATTCATGATTTTCTACATAATAGCCTTTGGTTGCTCTGGGTCATGCGAAATAAATAAGTGTTATATTCTAATCCATCTAAATCATATAGTGCAAAAAAAAGTATAACCTAATACATCGAAATCATATAGTGCATATCTCATCATGATGAATATGATAATCCTTGAATGTATAATCTAAGTATTAGTAACAAGATAAAATTACTCTGTATCCTAAAGATGGGCAGTATTTAGCTACTTTCATAAAGCCTGGTAAAACCAAATGTATTTGTTCACTGAAATGGAGGTACTAAAATTACCAATATATTTGCCAAGGTCAAGTCAGCATTACTGATAGCACTGCCCTTTTACCAAATGATAAGATTCGTATCACAAGCCATTAAAATATTATCCAATAGATACAAGGAAACAGAATTAATCTAAAAAAGAAATGTCTTTTCATTATTCATTGAAACTGAATAAAACTAAGATAAAACAAAGTTTGAAAAAAAAATCAATTAAGCCTTCCATTAAAACAAAATTAGACTCTAATTCCAAATGAGAAAAGGGATTTTCTGCAGCAGAAAGTGTTCTTTATTTAAAGAATAAAGATAAAAATAGATGAACTTACAAAATACAGCAGTCTTGTTTAATCACAGCAGGACAGTTGAGTATATTCTCTCAGAGTTCTTTTGGGGTACATTTCCTGAAAACAAAAATTAATGTTAAGGCCAAGCTTAAAAATAACCATAAGGAAACTATGGTTTTTTAATGGAAAGATCACACAAATGTTGTAGAAATTTGGGGCCTATATAAGTAGTCTTTAAAATATAATATAATACTGTTCTTAATTTCATTTCTGCCAATATTCAGATCATGTGAAAGAATTTATATAGATTTCTATATGGTTACAAAATATCTACATACTCCATAATAAGAAATAAACTGAAGTTTTATTTTCTAATAGAGAATTTCAAAATAATCTCTTCTGGCATAAGATAAGAAAGGTTGTTTGTGCCATTTATGTGCTGCCAAACAATGTAAGACACTCAGGAACCTCTCCAAAGACAGAGGCAAAATTTTAAAAGTCAAACTAGAATATCTGGTTTCAACTTGATCCAGTTGTTTGATAAAATACAGTCTGAATTTGCCTCGATGTTTTGAACATAATGAGGATGAATAAAAGGATGCGGTGATTGAAGGATCAGCAACAGTTTCACTTTTGGATCCTTATGAAATCTAAGCAGTACATCGGGGGAAATATCCGCAAGTCATGTACTTCACTACCTCTATTATCCCTCTGTATAAAACAACGCCAACTATTTTATCTCTTGTTTTAGGATCCACTCCAATAGAAGACGTACGTGGCTACAATACTAAATTGCCTTTGTTTAGTTGAAAGGGCTAAGGATACAATTGTGTGTATAATGAGCTGGCATCTATATCTTATAATCTCTCTATATTCTTTTTTTTGTATGTAGGATGATCACAAGAAGGTATCTTAACAAACTAAAGTAATAGGGGATATTATTGATCATTTTTTCAAAGAATGTATACAGTAGCATTGTAGTTGCAGAGAAAATATGACATTTTCATATCAGAGTTGTATCTGTTTATGAAGTCAATGTACATAGCATTAAAGTACAAATTGTATAATAGTTATTTAAAATGAGCTTGTTTATAGAATTAATAAGTTGATATACAAAAGTCAACTGCTGACACTGGGAACACACTGTAACCACATAAGGTAAGAAAACTAAATTCAAACTGTATATAACACATTAAAAATCAGATCAGTCAGAGAAACAACAAAAACAACAAAATATTTCTACAAGAAAAGAATACATTGCATAGAACCTTAAAAATTTCCATTAATTTTTAGATGATTATCAACTCAATTTTTTAAATGGGTCATTGTTATTATTTCCATTTCCACTGTTTTTTAATAAATTATGTATTATAATTTTTGAACCAATTATGTATTTTCAAATTCTGAAAATAAGATATTACCAATCAAATACCCATTAAACAATTGCAAATAAATTTGAAAAAGTAAAGAATGATATATTTCATTGGCTCAGGATAGTGAGGCCACTGTATTCCAGCTTTAACTGTGGCTACCTGCAGTTTTGCTTATTTAAGCTGAATAACTTGGAACATTCTCTATTGCAATGGATTTTATTTTTACATAATATATAGTTTAATGAAATTTATATATTAAAATCCAAGTTCCAAATACAAAGTATTATGAAATATCATTGGGTGCATTAGCATAATGAAAACAAACAGGAACAACAAATCCCAAACATTATGTTGTCATTGGTTGGATGAAAGAGATTAGAATTATGTATTCTACTGCTTCATGATTTTAGGTTTCCCACATGGCCTTTTGAAAGCTTAATAACTTGATGCTTTCTCTCTACATAGGTACCTTTCTAACATTTACGTCCTTTTGTGTAATATGGCATGAAAGACAATAAAGAAAGAAAGAAAGAAAGGAAAAGAGAGAGGGAAGGAGAGATAAAGAGAAAGAGGAAAGAAAGATGCATACTTATGTATATGGGGAAAGGAGGGACCTCTAAACTGTGGTCAGCACTGGCATTCTTACATATTTGGGCATTTGGTGAGATAGGTGCCACAAATCTCTTTGTATGAATGACTTAGGTGAATCATGAGAAAACTCTAATAAATAATTGTATAGGTACATCTATCCCAGAAATAAATTATTCAGGGAGGGGTAGGGGGGATATCAAAATTTAAGCAACAGATGGTGCATAACCATTACACATGAGATTTATCTTTCAAAACAATCTCCCTAGACTCATTGCATATTCTTTTGGAAAGAACAAGAATGTAAGTAAAAAGTGAAATACTGGACTGCTTTGGTTATTCAAATCGAGCATAACACTTCTCAGGGTGACCCACTCATTTTAAACATCATTTTAATTTTTATATAAAAACCATAACTGTTTAACCCAAAGTAGGAGACTTGCATATTTATTAAAACAAACTTTCCAGTAGAGGGGATAAAGCATTCCATTATAATAGGGTCATTATACATTATTGCGCTGGGGCTTATAAAGGAGGGAAAAGTTGGTAAACTAAATATTTGTGAATCGAAAACCAGTGTTGATTTAATAACATATATGATAACCTTGGCTTCTGAACAAGTAGACTGAGGTTCAAAAAATATGTTTATCTACATGGCAGTCAATTTATCTATCCATATATCAATAAATCAAATGATTAACCAATCAACCAATCTGTTGTTATATGTATGTACACATATATGTATATATATTCATAAAAATAAAAACATCTCTCATTGAACTTAATGCACTGGTTATATTTAATATATTTTTATTGCAATTCACATTATTTTCTTATTGTTTATTGTAACATTAAGGTTTTTCTGAGTTCCCTGTTTAAGTAAAAGATGCTTCCAATTTAAAGCAGTGTGTAGAGGGAAATTTATAGCACTAAATGCCCACAAGAGAAAGCTGGGAAGATCTAAAATTGACACTCTAACATCACAATTAAAAGAACTAGAGAAGCAAGAGCAAACACATTCAAAAGCTAGCAGAAGGCAAGAAATAACTAAGAGCAGAGCAGAACTGAAGGAGATAGAGACACAAAAAACCCTCCAAAAAATCAATGAATCCAGGAGTTGGTTTTTTGAAAAGATCAACAAAATTGACAGACCACTAGCAAGACTAATAAAGAAGAAAAGAGAGAAGAATCAAATAGACGCAATAAAAAATGGTAAAGGGGATATCACCACCGACCCCACAGAAATACAAACTACCATCAGAGAATACTATAAACACCTCTACGCAAATAAACTAGAAAATCTAGAAGAAATGGATAATTTCCTGGACACTTACACTCTTCCAAGACTAAACCAGGAAGAAGTTGAATCCCTGAATAGACCAATAGCAGGCTCTGAAATTGAGGCAATAATTAATAGCCTACCAACCAAAAAAAGTCCAGGACCAGATGGATTCACAGCTGAATTCTACCAGAGGTACAAGGAGGAGCTGGTACCATTCCTTCTGAAACTATTCCAATCAATAGAAAAAGAGGGAATCCTCCCTAACTCATTTTATGACGCCAACATCATCCTGATACCAAAGCCTGGCAGAGACACAACAAAAAAAGAGAATTTTAGACCAATATCCCTGATGAACATCGATGCAAAAATCCTCAATAAAATACTGGCAAACCGGATTCAGCAGCACATCAAAAAGCTTATCCACCATGATCAAGTGGGCTTCATCCCTGGGATGCAAGGCTGGTTCAACATTCGCAAATCAATAAACATAATCCAGCATATAAACAGAACCAAAGACAAAAACCACATGATTATCTCAATAGATGCAGAAAAGGCTTTTGACAAAATTCAACAGCCCTTCATGCCAAAAACGCTCAATAAATTCGGTATTGATGGAACGTACCTCAAAATAATAACAGCTATTTATGACAAAACCACAGCCAATATCATACTGAATGGGCAAAAACTGGAAAAAATTCCCTTTGAAAACTGGCACAAGACAGGGATGCCCTCTCTCACCACTCCTATTCAACATAGTGTTGGAAGTTCTGGCTAGGGCAATTAGGCAAGAGAAAGAAATCAAGGGTATTCAGTTAGGAAAAGAAGAAGTCAAATTGTCCCTCTTTGCAGATGACATGATTGTATATTTAGAAAACCTCATTGTCTCAGCCCAAAATCTCCTTAAGCTGATAAGCAACTTCAGCAAAGTCTCAGGATACAAAATTAATGTGCAAAAATCACAAGCATTCTTACACACCAGTAACAGACAAACAGAGAGCCAAATCAGGAATGAACTTCCATTCACAATTGCTTCAAAGAGAATCAAATACCTAGGAATCCAACTTACAAGGGATGTAAAGGACCTCTTCAAGGAGAACTACAAACCACTGCTCAGTGAAATCAAAGAGGACACAAAAAATGGAAGAACATACCATGCTCATGGATAGGAAGAATCAATATCGTGAAAATGGCCATACTGCCCAAGGTTATTTATAGATTCAATGCCATCCCCATCAAGCTACCAATGAGTTTCTTCACAGAATTGAAAAAACTGTTTTAAAGTTCATATGGAACCAAAAAAGAGCCTGCATCTCCAAGACAATCCTAAGTCAAAAGAACAAAGCTGGAGGCATCACGCTACCTGACTTCAAACTATACTACAAGGCTACAGTAACCAAAACAGCATGGTACTGGTACCAAAACAGAGATATAGACCAATGGAACAGAACAGAGTCCTCAGAAATAATACCACACATCTACAGCCATCTGATCTTTGACAAACCTGAGAGAAACAAGAAATGGGGAAAGGATTCCCTATTTAATAAATGGTGCTGGGAAAATTGGCTAGCCATAAGTAGAAAGCTGAAACTGGATCCTTTCCTTACTCCTTATACGAAAATTAATTCAAGATGGATTAGAGACTTAAATGTTAGACCTAATACCATAAAAACCCTAGAGGAAAACCTAGGTAGTACCATTCAGGACATAGGCATGGGCAAAGACTTCATGTCTAAAACACCAAAAGCAACAGCAACAAAAGCCAAAATTGACAAATGGGATCTCATTAAACTAAAGAGCTTCTGCACAGCAAAAGAAACTACCATCAGAGTGAACAGGCAACCTACAGACTGGGAGAAAATTTTTGCAATCTACTC